ATATTTAAAATTTATATAAAGAGATATTTTAAATATATAAATTATATTTTAAATTTATAATAAATAATTTAAAATTATTTTTTAATTATTAATAATTTATTTTAAAATATTAAAAGTTAATTTATAAATAATTATAATAAATAAAAATTGAATTATTATTATCATAAAAAAAAAAGTTCTTAAAAATATTCATAAGATAATTGTATTTAATATATACGAGTGTTGATTATAATATAAACATTGTTTAAGATAATTTATCATTTATAAATTAATTATTAATATAATAATTAATAATTTCTTATTTTTCTGTGAAATATTAATAATTAATATAAATATTTTTTTAAATATTTAATATAATAATTAATATTTTATATAATTTTTCATTTACATTATTTTAAGGCTTGAATAATTAATGTATCTAATATTTTATGATGTCATTACAATTTGATATATTAATATCACATTACGTAATTAATGTTACATCGATTTGTTATGTATTTAGTGTAAAATTATTTGAAAAATATATTTAAATAAAAAATTATGAAAAGGTTTCAATAAACACATAATGCACAATATTGTGAAGTTTTGCTTGATTTTTCTTATTTATAAAATTTTATTATGTTTTAAATGTATTTTTAATTTCTTAAATTTAAGATAAATTTAGTTTTTGTCTCTCAAATTTCAAATTATATTTTTTATTTTAATAATTTTAAAAAATTTTGTTTTAGTCATCGGGTCACCAATAACATCTAAAAGTGATAGATCGATATAGTTATGTATCATAAGTTAGATTTAATGTGATATTTTCACATATAGAAGTACTAGTAATATCAATAGGTAGATTTTATGCGACAATATTTAATATATTTTTAACAAAATTTGAGTATAAAGACTAAAATAATATTTGTTTAAAATTATAGGGACTAAAAGATCAATTTTAAATTTGAAGGACTAAAAAGAAATTTACCTTAAATTTGAGAGACTAAAAATATATTTAATCTTTTATTATTTATAAACTTTAACTAATGTTATATAATTTGAAGTTAAATATATATTTAAATAATTATAAAGAAAGAAAAAAATAATTCTGGCCCTCGCTTTGATTATTGTCTTGGATGTGTCCGTACTCATGCATGTTGTGACATCCTTACTACCCCAAATACATATATTGTAATAATGTAATTAAACTAAGGAAATTAATTTTTCAATATTGGTAAAAGGGTTCACATGAAAATCTTCATAAATGTTCCTCAATATCCAAAATAATGGAAAATAAAACTTGGAAAATAAAACCTAAGAGTTTACAAATTGTTTTCAAAATAATAAGTACAACTCCAAATCCATATAAAAATTCATGTCCTCGAAATCCTCTGCCCCAATGTCATAATATCATAGCATACTCACAATTCAACTGTTGGCATTATAGATGTCACTCATAGCCAGGTCTTCCTCACCTAAAACATCCACAAATTGTACGGTGAGAAAAGAAAACATTTATATGTAAAGCACACAAGAAAAGTCACCACATAATCTCATTATAACTCATTACTTAATGAAATATTTATAAGCATTTATATATATCTTAATTCTATCAATCATGCATCATCTTCACATCACAATTCACAATCACACCAATCCATCATAAATCTTGTAATTAACACTATGTCAAGGTCACGCCACCCCTGTAGCATCTCTTGCCCAAGGTCGTGCCGCTCCTGACATAAGTGATACGTGTTAATTGCCTCACACATCCTACACTATGCCAAGGTCACGCCATCCCTGTAGCATCACTTACCCAAGGTCGTGCCATCCCTTACATAAGTGTGAGGAACCACAATTACATTTTATTCATAATCATCACAAATCTTACAATTAACACTATGTCAAGGTCACGCCACCTTTGTAGCATTTCTTGCCCAAGATCGTGTCACTCCTGACATAAGTGATACGTGTTAATTGCCTCACACATCCCACACTATGCCAAGGTCACACCATCCATGTAGCATAACCTATCCAAGGTCGTGCCATCCCTAACATAAGTGTGAGGAACTACAATCACATCACATTCACATTCAACACAACATCTCATTTCATGTCAACATACTCACATCATAATTAATTGAACAATTAAGTCATAATATACCATGCGCCACATCATGTTATCAATTCAATACTAAAACAGTAGATATAATGTATATATTTGTGCCAAGACATTACACCACATTCCATAACTCAATTCTACATCACATACACAAAATAGATAAGTCCACACAAAATAGTGGTTCACATACCCCTAAAGAAATTCACCATGAATCCACATCTAGATCATCAATTTTACTAAATAATATAATAATAATATTTATAAATTAATATAAAACCTGATTGAATCACCAATTTAATAGAATCTTAACTCAAATAGTGAAACCCCCAATTTTTCTAAAACTTAACTCACAAGAACTTTTCTACAATTTTATTCTCTCTCCTAGATCATCATTTGTACAAATTAATTGCATACTCTTAATCCTCAATACATGCAAAATCTAATGGGATCATCAATTCCTCAAACAGAAATAATTATAAAATTACCCATAATCCTATGAAATTCCCCCTCTATCCAATTCCCTCATTATAACTTTTCATACAAATAATCCCCTTTTCTCTCATACCTCGATAAGTAGTAGCTGAAACTAAAGTAGAATCTGGTTGGTCTCCTCCTGTAACAGCCCAAAATCGCTGGGCTAGAGGCCCAATTGATTGCCCGGAACGGGCCGTTTCAAAAGTGAAACGGGCCGTTCTGGAATAAGAAAAATGCCCAAAATTGGAGAAGCAGAACGGGTCATTCTGGTTTGGAGAACGGGCCCTGGTGGGAGAACGGGTTGTTCTGCTGGGATTGAGAACGGGCCGTTCTGGTTTTGGAACGGGCTGTTCCAGTTGAGAATTTTGTGTAGTTTCGAAGGGTCCAGAACGGCCATTCCACTTTTGGAACGGGCCGTTCCGGTAGGTGAGCCTGAAATCCTATAAATAGCGCCCCTCACCTGTCATTTTCACACATCTCTCATTCCACTACAAAAAAAAAATCAATTTAGCCACCGAAATTAGCGACCGATTTTTTTCCGTCGCTAATAGCGACATAATTAACGACCGAATTTGATTTAGTTGCAAATTTTATTTAGCGACCAATTTAGCGACCGAATTTTTTAGTACCAAATAATCAGTCGCTAAATCGGTCGCTAAAATAATAATTG